TCCTCCTCTTCTTTTGTATTTGGATGTTTTTTTAGCATGTAACATTTTTGGTATATATTATATATGCTTAATCTTTGTAATGATCATCCTTAATTCTTGTACAGTATGTTAACTAGTAAAAGTGTAATAAATACTTCATTTTCATTACTTCGTAGAATTGTCTTTTTTAGACCTCATAGATACTATTATATTTCTCTTCGAAGTGCTTCATTTATCGTCTATTAATTTGAATCATCATAAGCTATATTTTTATTCTAGTTTTTTCAATTTTCAATTCCTATTTTCTTTTATTTTTGTTTTACTTTTTAATTTTTTTTAAAAAAAACCATGGCGCTTTTTTCCACTAAAACCCCACTGAAGACACTAAGCGAAAGCTACACCCTAACGTTGGCTCCGCTTTTTTGCTTTCAATAACATTTGCCAATAGAATGACTTCCCCTATTTGTGTTTCCCACCTAATTGTCATGCATATCTTTGAACCCTTAGACATCTTTAGTAATTTATAGATGACAATAGGCAAGATAACTGCCATACATCTCAAATAAGCAGATGAAGTTCTTACTTTGTCAAGTAAACAAAGTATAAATCCTAAATCGTGATAAATATTGTGGAACGATTCCTATAATATAGTTTATATCTCAAACATTACGTCGTGGAGTTCCTATCCTTTTACATTCGATTCTTTTGATTTTTTTTTTTGTTTTTGTTTTATTACAACCTCAATACTACTTTTGTATTACAAGAAACCAAATTGTGGAATCCGTAGAGACTCATCATTGGCATTTACAAGGAAGGACCCCACACTTTTGTTTTTTTATAGTACAAAAGTAGTGTGGAGGTTGTAGTAAAGTTAGCACAAGAATACATCTCTAACAAATATGAAGTGGAGCATGCCACATTGCAATCCTACACGATAAATGTAGCACTTATGGAAGGAGTCCGAAGCTGTAGTTAACCTCAAGTTGTAAGCGGAGTGGATTACAAGATGCAAAGGAGGAAAGTGGTGGAGGAATTTTTTGGAAGGACTACTCTCCTAACAAAGAGCATTGTTTTATGAAGCCCAATTACCTGAACCACAACAATCTCAGTAGGAGAAATCCAACTAAATATCGAGTTCACTTTCCTATTTGTCGAAAACGTGTTGGGAGTCTGATCAGATCTAGATACTAATCATGTTATTGAATTATTAAATAAGACTGAAGTTTAGAAGGAAATGAGCTCATTATATTACATTATGTAATACTAATTAAACCTTATTACGTATGTGCAGTAACAAGTCTTTGTGTATATTAAGAACATCGGATATTTATTTGGACACTTTGACCTATGTTCATATTCAAACTTTGAGCAGATCTGATACAACTTACAAGTATCCATATTTGTCAAAATGCAGACATGGAATCACATTAATTTTGGTATTGATACGGAATTGCATTAATTTTGGTATTTGTGTTTGTTTATATCCATCCAACTGCGTACTGATTATGAACAAAGTTCATCAATTACTATTTCGTAACAAACCACAGGTTGGTAATCACTATTAATCTGGTTTTGGTCCGGGTTACCAATTATAGGTGGAGCCAGATATTTGAGCCTGAGACAGACTGCTAAGTCAAGAATGAGTATAGATAGAAGATTCCGGGTTAATCCAGTTTCAGCTATTCATAGTATTAACTGCTTATAAACTCTATTCTACTGACTAATTTGCAGGCCTACATAATTTCCATTACTTTTACTATACCATTAGAATTGCTTACACTTTTTTTTACAGCCACCGACTGCTTTACTTCAACCTAATTTAGAAGCCTGTTTGAATTAGAGAATACATTTTTAATGCATGTTTGCCGTTACGTATAGTTAAGGACACTACGATCCTTGACCTTGTAATCTATCTTACGGCATTTTTATGTACTGTTGCAAATTTTGTCAGTGGCAATGATGCGATTTTTGTAGTCAATAGCTGTTTGAATTAGAGAATACATTTTTAATGCATGTTTGCAGTTATGTATAGTTAAGGACACTACGATCCTTGACCTTGTAATCTATCTTACGGCATTTTTATGTACTGTGGCAAATTTTGTCGGTGGCAATGAGTGTTTTGCTCTCTTTTGCTATGTCTTCTATATGTCATGGCAGGTTCGCTATGTGTGGTAATATACTAAAAATATGTGTGAAGGATAAATTCAATAGTTTGCAAGTGAGACATTACTCTCAAAGAAAGATCTATCTAGCTTAGCTATGCCTTCTGAGTTTTATTTCTTTTTATTTCCTTTTTTTATTAGAAAATTATAAAATTTTGTCCACATGGTATGTGTATCCTTCTGCATGCATGCTCAACTCTCTTTCTTATTGCTATTTGAAATATGAGCAGGTATTCCCGTTTGGTTCTGTACCATTGAAAACATATCTTCCTGATGGAGATATAGATCTTACTGCGCTTGGCTTTCCAAATTCTGAGGATACATTTGCTAGCAGTGTTCGTCAGGTTCTCGAACTGCAAGAGCAAAATAATAATTCAGAGTTTGAAGTGAAGGATGTGCAGTATATCCATGCAGAGGTTTCTTTCATTCCACTACCCTTTCCTTTATCGCTTCGGTAACAAAATTTATTATGTTTTCCTTAATGAGTTTAGTTATAAGTTTCTCATATATTATCCATAATTCTTACAATTGAAACTTGCAATGTCGATTTTCACATCCAATGATATTTAGCCCTTTATTTAGGTTCCATGCATTTCCGTATGGTCAACCCTTCTTTATCTATTTTCTTTTCAACTAATTGAAATATTCTAAACTATTTCTTCTTCATCGGTTTATATTGTTTAGTTTAGCATTTTATTGCAAGCATTGAAGGTAAGTGCTTAATGATTCAACTCTTCTTAGCTGGGAGCATATATATTAGGTACTTCTCAACTGACAATTATGGAAGGGGGAAATCCCTTTTACCTCAATGGCCATTGCTCGAATGAAAGTTGAAAGGTTCTCTCTTCTATAAGGTAAATATTTGGGGATAATCTTAGAAAACCACCCAAAAGTTGTAACTGAAAAAAGAAAAGAAAAAAGAAAAGGGGATATGCTATTCTGTAAGTATTCAATGGATGTCAGTTGTAATGACATAGAACGACATAAAAAAATGGAGAGTCTTGCTGAATAAATATCACGGGTGAAAGAAGAGTTAACTCACATGCACAGCTAGCTGCAAAAAACAGCTGGAACTGGAGGTATAGAAGTCAGTTTGGTGCAAAAAATCCACCCTTTCAAAGATAACATTGAAAGATACAAGTTTGCAATTGTTTTCTTTCTGTAGATTTTGCCATGTGAAAGGTCAAAATCTAGGCAAACACACTTTTTGTCTATTTGGGGAAACTACACTTTGGCCATGATATATGTTGGCACATTTTGTCAATTTATATAACATTAAAATCAAATATGTTGAGTTAGAAAGCTGTATGATAGGTGGTAACTACCTTATACAGTTCGGAGGGTAATCGGAGTACTCCGATCAGTGGGGGGAATGTTATATATCAACTTCAAGAACAACACTGCTGAAAGTTAAAAGCTACAGTTTTTTACTGCTATATGTTTGTACCTGACTACATTTTTTCGTTTTTAGATAAATATACCATTTATATGGTGAAGATGTTTATCTTTCTGCACTTTTCATATTTGACCTAATTGTCTTAGACAACTTCTTATTATCTGTTCTTTTATAGTAGTTATTGATCAGACAAAAATTATTACATAATTTAACTATTGCATTATCTTTTCCAGGTTAAACTTGTCAAATGCCTCATTCAGAATATCGTCGTTGACATCTCATTCAATCAGAGTGGTGGACTCTCTACACTATGTTTCCTAGAACAGGTTTGCTGACTATAACTTTTTGTTTTCCCTCCACATTCAGTGGCATTCATAAGTTGTTGATCCATTAAGATTTTGTGATACCTCTAGGTAGACCGTATGATTGGCAAAGATCATCTCTTTAAGCGCAGCATTATATTAATCAAAGCTTGGTGCTATTATGAGAGCCGCATCCTTGGCGCTCACCACGCTTTGATATCTACATATGCATTGGAGACGTTGATTTTGTATATATTCCATCTCTTTAACAAGTCTCTGGATGGCCCTTTGGTGGTGAGTATTGGTGGAAATCATAATCTTATGATAGTTTTCCATATATTTTGGCTTTTAAAGGACTTATAGATGCATCTCCTTTTTTGTAGGTTCTATACAGGTTTTTAGACTATTACAGCAAGTTTGATTGGGATAGGTATTGTATTAGTTTGCGTGGTCCTATCTTAATATCATCTCTACCAGAACTTGTTGGTAAGTTATTTGACATAACTATACCCGAAATATGATTGGAAATTTGTTGTAAATTTTTTCTTGATCTCTCACTGTATGCTCAAGTGATAACGAGCATTAGTAATTTTGATTGGATAATTTTTTTTCCGCATAACCAGCCGAGGTGCCAGTAAATCATGAGGGGGGTTTATTGTTCACAAAGGAATTTCTCAATAAATGCGTAGATGATTTCTCTGTCCCCCCAAGGGGCTCTGAAAGCGTCCAGAGAAATTTTCCTCGAAAACATCTTAACATAGTGGATCCACTAAAGGACAATAATAATTTGGGGCGTAGCGTGAGTAGAGGTTAGTCTTTTCGAGATTACGAATGAAAAGCAATTTTTGTGACCTCGAATTGTTGATGATCATTAATTTTGCACACGTGCTTGTGTAGGTAACTTCTACCGGATACGCAGTGCCTTTTCCTTTGGTGCTAGAAAATTAGGACAGATACTTCTCCTGCCTTCTGAAAGTATTGCAGATGAGGTCAATGTGTTTTTTGGAAATACACTTGATAGACATGGAAGTGGAGAAAGGCCAGATGTGCAAGATGCTGGTTCTCTTTCTTTAGAACTACAGTCCCATAATACCAATGAAGAGCTATGTCAAGAGATAAACACCATGAATATTTCAGGCTCGGAGAAAAATGCTAGAAGAATGGAAGCAGAAGGTCAAATAGCAGGTAGAGGTTCGAAGGGTTTTACCAGTAGAGGCTCTAGTTCCATTAACATTGGAGAGAAAAGCAAAGTTCAAGTGTCAACTAGCAAAAACATTAACTCACCAAAGGGAAAACCTTACCATATGCCCCACCTTTTTTTCCATTCCCAAAATGGGTATCAGAATGACTCCTGTGAGAGGGAATCATCAACAACGGGTACATCTCGATTTAGTCCTCGTGGATCTCCTGTGTCAAGCTGGAGCAATGAACAGTCAAAAGATTCACATATCGGAGTCTGCTCAAATGGAGCTAGTGGAAGTGCCAAGTCGAATAGATTAGCAAATCTGAGTGGGGATTTGGACATTCACATGAGAAACCTTCAATTTGTACAATGGACCCAAGATTATATGATGGGAAATCTTTTACCTTTTTATCCTCCTTCACCTTATCAGTATCGCAATAATAATAATAACTCTTGGGATCCCCCTCAGAGACGAGGTGCATTTTCTCGTATGAATGCAAATGGAGTGCCCCCTGGACCTCCATTTTCACCGACAGGGACTTATCCAACACCCTCACCTTTCATTCCCGGTGGTGTTTTTGGCATCGACCATCTGCCAAAGCCAAGGGGAACAGGCACTTACTTTCCCAATACGGTATGTTTTGACTCTACAAAGGGTAATGTATGACTGGATCTGGTCTAAATACAATTTGGAAAGTTTGGGACTTTCCTGCGCTATTTTGATTACACATTCTTGCTTTTATTATGAAAATGCACCGGTTGTGTTTGGTAATGGGTCTAATAAATCGAAGGGTTAATTTCAGATAAACCCCTTGTATTATCACCAAATTGAACTCACTACACCTGTAGCTCTATTGTTGCAGATAGTCCCCTAAGTGAATCTATGTGCCGGGAGACCTCTTGGTGAAAATTTTAAATTTTTTTAAGGGAGTCTATCTGCAGCAATAGATTCACTTAGGAGGGCTATCTGCAGAGCCACGGGGGAAGTAAGTTCAATTTGTTGCTAGTATAAGGGGTCTATCCGTGATTAACCCTAAAATGAATCACATGCAACCTGTGACTTAATTTTGTTTTGATTGGGTTTTTGTCGACATCTCATTTCTAATACCACTGATTTTGTTCTATATGCTTGCACTCTACATTTTATAGAATTATCATGCATACAAGGAGAGGGTGCATTCACCTGGTAGAGGAAAATCATCGGTGCCTCCTAACCATTTCTCTAGACAGTATAGCAATGGCCGGGCAAGGGCTTCATTGAATGTTAACTTGGAGGAGAGTGGTGTTCGTGAGCAACCTTCACGGGTGCAACTTCCTGCTTTTACTGGAAGCGGAAGCGGGAAATCAGTTCCCTCAGATGCATCGAACATGCCATCAAATTCCTCGAAGGAGACTTTGCCAGCCACTTCTTCTGTGGTTCCACCACCCGAAGGGGACCTCCTCAAATTCCTCGAAGGAGACTTTGCCAGCCACTTCTTCTGTGGTTCCACCACCCGAAGGGGACCTCCCCCTTGAGTTTGGGTCCTTTGGTCCTGCTTCATTGAGTGGTCCTGCTCCGGAAGCAAATACAAGTTTGGATTCTGGTAATCCTCCTACTCCAGGTTTGGCAACAATCTCTGTGTCTACAATGCGAGGACCTTCAATGAGTTCGAATCGGGAAAGGTAATATTATGATTAACTGCCTTTTGAAAGAAAAAATCATTACAGCTTTTGATTTGGTTAATTTACTGACTTTTATTATAATATTTCATTAACTTTACAGTATTCAATTAGGGTTATCAACTGCATGATCTTATTGTAGCTTGTTATGGGAAAGGACTTAAAGTCTAAAGGGTTTAAATACACAGAAGTGAGCCGAGAGTTAGCTGGCCCCATATGATCTATATAAGCTTCCAATGCCTAGTTTTAGAAAATTGACCTGGCTATGATAGTAACGCTTTGGGCCTTTTGAAATGAAGTGCCCTCATGAAAGTAGTATTCTCTCATTTCTGATGGTAAAATTTACAGCAATTTTAGATGGAAATGAAATTTGTTTTGTTTACTTGCATATAGTGAATGAAAATCGAGTGTAAGAACCTTTAAGAATTAATGAGAATTAAGAAGTGGGTTTGTACTGTTTAAAACCAATGATACAATTCGATTTTCCTACAACTAATTTTCTTTTGTATCGTCATCCTTCTCATTAATGGAAATTGAGCTTTGTTTCACGTGTATCAAATGGCCAAATCTATCTACATAATCGATAATTCTATCCTTCATTTGTTAGAATCCAGTCGTAGCAATTGTCCATTCAAGGTCGCTATACACTGAATCAACAGAAAATGGTAGTTTAAAATGCTGCATGTGATGCCATTGTGAATATGGCATTCTGCATTTGATGATAACGGGCTAAGTCACTCCAACCTACAATGCTGTCCAAACTTCAAAGTGATATTTGCATAGAAGTATTGCAGGACGACAAACTATTTTTTGAGATGGCAGACTTAAACCATGTTATTCATGACATATTGCTCTACCTACTACATGGGCCTCTCCTTTTTTTCCCCCTTTCTGTTGTCTTTCGAGGATAAATATTATGGTTTTTGTTATATTAGACCTGAAATCTTTGTTAATTATACATTAAACCTTCAAATGTTCATAATTCTATAAACTAAAGCCCCAAAAACGAGGTCTTTTTGAAATATTTGTCCTAAATGGTCATCTTATTAAAAAAAACTTAATAGATTCGAGGGTCTTATTTAAAACGATTTATATTATTATCATTTCTTCAAAGAAAAATAATCCTAATCATTTTCAGGTCGGCTCAAGCTTATCGCCTGAAAGATGAAGGCGACTTCCCCCCTCTCTCAGGCTAAATGCAGTCGAAGTTTGGTATACATACAGGAAACTATCAAGTCTATATCATTGCAGGATGATGAGGAAGAAAAAAAAATGCTAACTTTATTGCCTCATGACGGGGTGAGGTATAATAAAACAAAGGGTGTGTAATATCGCGGCAATGTGTTTTTGTACATTCTAATAATTTTGTTGTTCCTCTTTTAGCAGTCCTCCGTTGTTGAGGGTTTTATAAACAGGATGTGATGGTAAAAGGTTCTGTTCATCTTATTCTGTCTTAAAATTTTTCGTATATCCCTTCTTGGGTGGTAAGAAGACTAGTCGTGGCTGTAACTTTATGTAGATGTTGAATATGATTGGGGGTTCCAATCTTATTATTATGATATATATGACCGAGAAGTATTCTAGTTTTTTGGTTAGTTACTTATTTTTAGATCGTTTTTTTGGCAATGAGAGTTTTTTTTTTTTGTGTGTGTGTGTGCTGATGGTTGTTTGTACAATAAGGATTGCAGAGGTTTTAAGTAGAGCTACAACATTTCTAGCAGTATTTGTGTTTGTTCTTGTAAGGGGCTGTTTGGTTCCTATTTTTTGGGTGGTAAAAGTGGGGAAAGCTGTCAAAAATGTCAGCTTTTTGGCAGCTTTCCCCCAAAATCATCTTTTAAAAATGTGATTTTGGGGGAAAGCTGCCAAAAAGCTGACATTTTTGGCAGCTTTCTCCTTTTTTACCACCCAAAAAAACCTATCCAAACAGCCCCAAGCTGAAAGCTTTTATGCATGAGGTAAGCTATTCAGGTAGCAAATGTGGTCAAGTTTCTGTACAGTAATATGAGCTAAATGAAATTGTTGCTATTATTTTAAAGTTGAAATAATTCATGTTACTGCACAGGAACTAACTCTTTTCTGCAGCTTATACCACCACATCTGAGCGTAGAGGTTACATTGAAGGTTGGCAAAGAGATTTTTTTATATTGGCTAATTGAGAATAGCCCACTATTTCGAATGAGAAAGTATCTAGCGGGGACGGTGCATGGCAATAAATTTGCAACGGAGGGATATAACCTTTAGATCATTAAATTTCATGATTCTGTGTACTTTCGTGATTTGTTTCGTGATCAACGGGTTGATATTTCTCAGGTGCACATTTATTGTCATGAAGCATTCTTACTAGATATTTTCTCATTTTGAACTCGCTGAAGCTCTAACTTTATTTTTTTTTCCAGATAGATTTCTTGGGTGAATTCTTTTGATTCTTTTACCATCAGAGGGAGAAATTGTTGTTTTTTTTTTTTTTTGACAAATAGGCCCTTTGAAAGTAAAAGAGTCGAGTAGGACCTCCTTCTAAAATTTGGAGAGTTTGAAAAAAGTCTCAAGTGTCGTCACATTAACTTGATTTTACTACAAGACAATGTACAAGTACACGTAGATCCCCTCTAAACTCCAAACTCCACATTCAACTCAACGATATCAAACCAAATCTCCTCGAACACCTCAATAATTACTCTATGATACTCCTTAGAATTCAAACACAAGTAGCACTCAAGCAGTTCTTCGAGGTCCTTCACCGTCATCAGGCCGTTCTCCCTGATCATCTCCATCATGGACTCCCTGAACTCCTTCCGCGGCTCCGACGAGCTCTTCGCCATTAATGCGAAGCCCTGCAGAACCCCCGGCTCCTCTTCACGTTGGGCGCCACCTTCTTTGCGAAGCTTGGAGGTGGAGCAGATGGGCCTTGGGCCGCCGGTGGGCTTCTTATGGGCTCTTTTCGGGCTGGGCTTCTTTGGCGAGTTGAGCGGGAAGTGGGTGTCGTGGGCCTTGGGGTGGAGATTTGACGGCGGAGATGGAGGGCTTTTGGGAGAGTGGGCCCTCTTTGGCGAGCTCGGGGTTGTGTTGGCGGGCGTGTTCATTTGGTTGAGGTTGTGGAGCAAGGCATTGGGAACCTTGGTTGATAGCTTGAGATTATGGTTGCACATCTTGAGCAAGACTAAGAGGAATTCGAGGGGATATTAATTAAGGCGCTAACTAAGAAAACTTAATCAGCTGTCGAGTGGACGGGGTCTGCTGGATAACGAGAAAGAGAGGAAAAGATGCTAGTGATTGGGACGATGGTCTTTGTGGGGGGGCTTTAAATAGGGGAGACCAGTACGGAGAAGGGGGAGGAGGAAAGAACAAAGAAGTGGTGGTGATGGATGGAGGGTAGGGTAGCTTGGTGTATAAAATAAAAGGGGAGGGGGGTACGTGGTTAGGATGCTTTGTTTGCCTCTTGTTCCTAGAACCAAACTTTGAAGGGATTAATTAAGCTAATTAGGAGTGTATTATGATTAGGGAGAAATTACAAAAAAAATTTAAAAAAAAGACAAAGTGTTGGGTGTCAGTGCAGGGTCATGGGCTTTTTTTTTGTTGTTGTTGTTGGTTGTTGTTTTGGGAGAACGTGGAGACCTGCACAACTTTCACCAGCTATAGAAGAGCTTGATTTTGTATATTTTGTGCAAGGGAAATGAATGTATATTAAAATTAGTAGCTTTTATGTTTGTTACACTCCGAAGCTTAACGGACCGGTTTTTTCACCGCCGACCGAATTTTGCAAGTGTAAAAGTAGCAGGTGACCTCACGTGGTGTAATTTTAGAGCTGTTAGAAGGCTGAGATGATTGTTTTTAGATGACGTGGCTAGTTTACGATTAGTTTTACTCTCGCCTAATCTTTCTTGTTAGTCATCTAAAACCATCCCGTACCATCTAAAAACAACCACATCAGCGCTCTAACATCCTTAAAATTACATCACGGGAGGTCACGTGCCACTCGCGTGCGCTAAATTTGGCTGGCGGTGAAAAAAAAAACAGATCTAAGTGCGCTGCACTTTCGACTGACTTCATACCAAAGAGTTGCCAAAGAAACTTTTAATACCAATCTGGTTAAGAGGAGTTACAAAAAAAAAACCAAAAACAACTCTTGGGTTTTCAGATTTTGGACGTTTAAAGATTTATTTTTTTAAAAAAATCGACCAACTTTCTTCGGAAAAATTTGAAAAATAGTCCGTTTTTGCTAATTATTTAGCAAAATAGTCCGTTTTGCTAAATAATTATCAAAATAGACCTTTTTTAAAAAAAAGAGGTCGATTTTAAAAAACAAGACTCAGAAAACATACGGGACTACTACTCCCGTATGTTTAGAGCCAACTTAATCACAGATTAGTGACTCAGAAAACATACGGGACTAGTAGTCCCGTATGTTTTCTGAGGTCATCTCAATGTTTTGTGAAATTTTCTGAGTTCACTAATCCGTGATTAAAACATACTGGACTACTAGTCCCGTATGTTTTCTGAGCTGTTTTGCAAAATAGACCTCTTTTTGGCCTGTTGGTCAAAAAAGGTCTATTTTGCTAATTATTTAGCAAAACGGTCTATTTTGCTAAATAATTAGCAAAAACGGACTATTTTGTAAATTTTCCCACTTTCTTCTGGGTGGTTCGATTTTGTAATTAAATATCAAAGTTATTTTATTAAAAAAACCCTTTTCAATGTGAATTTAGAACTTAGAGCAAGAAAGAGGTGGGAAAAAGTATGTCCATTAATCGACAGATATTCTTAACAAGTAAAAAAACTGGACCCTGAAATGATTACTAAAGATTACGGTGGCATAATTTACTTTAAGACCCTTGAAGGACAGGGGCCCCTTGCCTCCATGTCTAGCTGACACCTAAATCCAATTGATTGAACTGAAAGGAGGGAGGGGGGTGGGGGTGGGC